CTTTTATTATTTTTCTTTTGTTTTGAGAGTCTAATCTAATAATATTAGAGAATAATAAATAAGGTAGGTATGAAAAAAAATATAAATAGAATAACATATGACATTATATATAATACATTAGTGTTAATTTAATTTTATACAAAACACGAACGCTGCTCACTAAATATAGAATGAAAATCAGGAACTAATTATGGTGGAACAGAATTAAATTTGTTGCAAGGAGAAAGATTCGATTATAATTTTTTATTACAAATTATATTAAATACGACTGATCATACACTCTTGATTGAAGTATATTAGTGTAATTTGTAAGAATTTATAAATAAATTTTTTATAAATATAACATTTAAGTGAACAGTAAAACTTTTTAAAACCCCACGTGCACAAATTTGCTATAACATATAGTAAATTTAGTTTGGTACGGTGGCCAGCTAAAAAAATATCAGTCTGAGTAAAAGTATGACGAACGACCGTTTCTCCCAAATTCCCTGATGGCCTAGCGAATTAAAATTAGAAAATATTATTAGTAGTTTTCTCGTATTACAGAGAGAAGTCACGTGAGATTCATTATTAAAAGATAAAAAAAAGTGAGTGAAATTTTCAAAGTGAGATTACATGAGATAATATAAAATGAGATTAGTATTTCTCATTAAAATTAAGTAAAAAAAAACTTGAAAACTGGTGCGTATCTGCTGTAATATTTGCTTTCTTCTAACCATGATTTGACTGAACTGCAAATACTATGTACTTTCAAAACTCTACAATACCATCTTTTGATCCAATCACAACATGCTCTGCGTCAAGTATTTGGGTTGAAAACACTGTAACTGAATTATTATTGGATCGGATTTTGGATTCTGAAAATTCAAACCTGAATAACTTAGGGCGCTTTGATTGTGCTCTGATTTTTTTGTTTTTAAAATTGTTTTGAAAAATAGTTATGAAAATAGTTATTTTTTATATTTATTTTTTTTGAAAGTTAAAAATCAAAACAGAAAACAAAAACAACTTAGACATGTTCTCTAAATTTGATTCTAAAAACAAAAAAATAGTTATAGTTTTAAAAATATTTTTTTACAAAATATGTGCCACCAAACGAGTTTTTTAGTTTTTTTTTTCTGAAAACTAAAAAACTGTTTTTAAAAACAATAATTAAACAGAGTCTTAATTTTCCTTTTTTTTCTCTCTAATTTCTCCAATTTTATTTCTTTTTTGTGAATAATATTTTAAAAATATATGAATTTATGTACAAATTATTTTTTAACATTCTTAATTCTATATTATTTTCATAAATAAGACTTAAATATATAAAAATGTAACAATTTAATTCAAACAAACCAAAATTTCATTGAAATGATTTAATCTAGCTTATAAAAAAAATGATTTAATCTGAATTAGTCAAAAAAAAATTTGCAACTCAACTGAAATTTATTAATTGATTTAGACTGTTAATTAATGATTAATTGACTAACAAACAAAGTTTTTTGACAAAATTAATTCAAGTTAAATGATTTTGACCATTGCACCTAATTCACTATGCCTCGTAGTGTATTTATTAATTGCTGCGAAGTGTTCTGCTTTTGCACAGAGCAGTCTGCCAAGTGTTTTGGACTTTTGATAGTAACGAATTAGGTGGGTCACCGGCAATGTGTCATGTTTGAAACTAAATTGGCTATTTGTTGTAATAAATTTGCACATATGACATTTTAGAAAATTTTATGACATTTAGGAGCGTTTGGTAGATGAGAAATTTTTTTTATCCGTAAATCATGATTTTCAGGAATATAATGTTATCAAAAAGTTATTTGGTAGACTAACATATTCTCGAAAATATTGGGTTAATTTTCTTGATGCTATATTTAGTTGTATTAAATTATCCCTAGCCATAGAAATCTTAAAATACCACATCCTGAATCGTATTCCTGGATAGTTTTTTAAAAAAAATTTACACACAAAATAAAATCCCAGAAAAATCATTCCCGGGAGAATTTTAAAAATTCTATACTCAACAATGCATTTCTATTTACCCAACCAAAGAATCCCAGGAAAACAAAAAAAAATCCTGTTACCAAACGATCCCTTAAGCAATTATTTTTTGAATTTGTGGCAAATAAGTAGGGGTGTTAACGGGCCGAGCCGAGCTTTGATCTTAACGGGACAAGCTTGTATTTAACCGTGTCCGACTGGCTTTAGCCTGTTACCTGTTATGGATATAATATTGGCCTGTGGTCTGGTTTATTTACAAAAAATAAAAGTCTGTGTGAAGCATGTCTTAGCCTATTAGCATGTTAAAGAATAAAAATAAAAGAAAAGAATTCCACGAAAAATCAATTTTCAGATAAAAACCTTAGCTTCCAATTTGCAGCAATAATTTACAAAGTCTACAATAAATAAATAAAATTAAAGTGAGAGAAGATAGATAACATGTTATATTATCTTAGCCCATTATAAAAAAAGTGCCAACAAAAATAAAAATAAAATAAATAAAATAAAAAATAAATTGACACAAACGAGCAATGCACAGTGGAACGAATGAGTTTTTGTGGGTTTGTTTGTGTGAAGGAGGATGAAGGATAATATAGAACAGCACTAGTAATTTCATAAATATACATAAATTCAATATATATCCAAATAGCATAATATAGAACAAAATCATTCAAAAAGTATGTTAAACCAATAAAATAAGGTGAAATAAATAGATGAGAGAGAGTCATTACAAGTAGTATAAAAAGTATAAATAAATATTTATATACTAGGCTAGCCTGGGAGGCTCTAAGGCCGAGCTTCTGAATTAGAGTTTGAGTCCTTTTTATTAAACGGGCTTTTATACAAGTCCAAGTCTGGTTCCAACACGAGCTTTTACTAAACGAGTTGAGGCCTTTACGAGCCGAGCCAAACACCCCTGGCTGGTTTACCACCCCTACAAATAAGTCATTGTTCTAGTTATGACTGATCAATTTTTTATTTATTATTTCAATTAGTTGTAATATTTATGGATTATTTATTTTACACTATTTAGATGTTATTATAAATGATCAACAATTAGCCACTTACCTAAATTAATCACACCACTTATGTCAAAAACTAATTCATCCGAAAGATCATTTAAATCTAAGTTATTTTTAATAATTTAAGTTAGAATTTTTCTTAGTCTATCTTTACTCTTTAATTATTAAGTTATTTTTTATCAGATCAACTTTGAATTGTCTGACTTTCCAAAAACTTTTAATTGTCTTCTCCTCACCCAGCAAATCAATCTGAACCCGATTCTATCACTTTTTTAATAGGTGACACTTTTTTCTTTTAATAAAATAATTCTTCATCTTATCTTTTTTTCATACATCAACTCATCTAACATAGAACTCTCATTTTTTAAGTAATATTAAAGTGGTTGAGAAATATAGTCTCACATTGGTTGTATGGACAACTAATGTGAAGTTTATAAGGTCCTGGACACTCTCACCCTTTGAGCTAGCTTTTGGGGTTCTTAACATGGTATCAAAGCATTCAAAATCTCATTGTAGTGGAATTTTCACATGTAGGGGCTTGTATGTTGTCCATCCTTCAAGCCCAGTGGGCTCTCGTGTGAGGGGGCGTGTTGAGAAATATAGTCTCACATTGATTGTATGGGCAACTAATATGAGGTTTATAAGGCCTTAGACATTCCCACCCTTTGAGCTAGCTTTTGGAGTGGTGATCTAATGGTTCTTAAAAAAAGCTTATGAACCCATTATCACCTAACATTTATTATACTAATGAAATGTGTCACAAGAAATGAACTAACGAATTTTACAAACAAACACGTACAATAATACTCCGAAAATATAATTTAAAATTAGTTTATTTTAGTCATTGATTAAAAGCAACATGAAATTAAAAATTTATCCTATGAATAATTTGCGTAGGTTAACGTTTTAGTCTATTTAAAAGACATTACGACAAATTCATTTTATAATACAAAACTCTTCACCAACTTCAATCGCATAAACTAAGTCCACCAGTACTTTTTCCAGGGAGACTTTAATTAAGTTGGTGAGATCATTATGAAGAATCGGCTGACTCTTTCTTGCTCACGTACGATGAAGTTTGGATTAAAAATTTGAGACACTCAATGCAATTATAGTAAAATAAAATAAAATCATATCATAGCAGTGTAAAACTAAATGTAATTAGAGAAAAATTTGACAGGTTGTTGATCTCGGTTAATTTAATAATTTTAATTTATTAAAAATTAATAATTAATTAATAGGTATAATTCAATAAATTACAATCTATAATTATTGGAAATCAATGATTTAAATAAGATACCAAGTGTGGCTCAGTTGATAGCATGGGGACTAAGTGGTGAGAAATGACCTCGGTTCGATTCCCACCAATATCATATGGAAAATGACATAAATATCGTAATTATTGGACTCACACCCGAACTATGGCCTAGTCCCATAGGCGGCTCAAAGAGTCGATACTGAAAGGTTCTAATTCGCTTCAAAGAGATAATTACCATCAGTTTTCACAAAAAGAAGAAGAAGATGTCAAGTAATAATTAATTATTTAATGTAATCCAATAAATTACAGCCACTAAGTGTTCAAATAAAATGTAAAACATCACTGTCAACAAAACAGTGAAATTCAACCGTTCACATGTATTTATGGTTGACAATTGATACAATAAAACCACTCTTAGGGAAACTTCACAAGGCTAGGTAGGTTGTCATGACAATATCAGTAATAAAAAAAATAGTTTTATAAACATATAAAGTGATCCAGTCACGTACTCCCCCGCCTCACACCGCCATTACTAGTAATTTGTTCAATTAATAATTAATATAATTGTGATGATTATCAACACGAAAAAACAAAGGAAATATGTGAAATACCACCAAACGCGAGTGACCGAAGCAAGAATTTTTCTTAATGTATAGTGGCTTGCAAGTGCCAAATCTGCCTATAAAAACAGCATGCTAGGGAATCCAAAAACACACACCACCACCACCAAGAAGAGAAAATATCACACTATAAGCCAAAAAAGAAAGAAAGAAGACATGGGTTCCAATTCTTCAGAGAAAGAGAACCCTGCCTCACAAAAAGATGACACTGATACCCTCTATGCCATGGTACTTGGTGCCAATATGGTGTTTCCTGCTGCCCTTAACGCTGCAATTGAACTCAACCTATTTGAGATCATTGCTAAGGGAAGTTCACCAAATAGTGATGGATTCATGTTAGCTTCTGAAATTGCTTCAAAGCTACCAAACCAACACTCAGACTTGCCAAATAGGCTTGATCGTATGCTGCGTTTACTTGTCAGCTACTCTCTTCTCTCTATTTCCACTCGCACCAATGACGATGGTAGCATTGAGAGAGTTTATGGACTCTCACCATCTGGAAAATATTTCGTCTATGATGAAAATAGTGATGGTTATCTCTCTTCATTCACTTCATTTCTCTGTCACCGTGCTTTGTTAGGAGTATGGTAAATGCTTTTACTATGCTTCGTATCATCATTTAGAACAAGGGTTAAGCGTAAAAATACACAAGTTCTGTTGTTTTATTTTCTATTATTATTATTATTATTATATATATATAGTAGTATATAGTTATAATATAAAAAATTATTTTTTTCTCTTTACATATCAGCTGAAGTGACTGAGAAGAGATTTTTTTTTTTCATATTATAACTATGTATTACCAATAATACATAGTGTTAAAAACTAACATGATACAAGATTGTGTCTTTTGAAAGGATAAAATTTTTCCCCTTAGAATAAACATATATTCTATTTTTTTTTTACTTTGACTAACTATTATATTAACACATTTATTTGACTAAAAGAGAAAACTATTGTATTAGTTGTTAGTGAACTTTAATATTTTTTTCAAAAGTAAGCTTATCATTTTTGTTTTTAAATTAACTTATGTATGTCACGCTCAAAACAGTTTATTTATTGTATTATCATTTTGTCGTTTTGTTTCCTGAGTTAATTAAGTCCTTAAGTTCAACAGATTTTATAAATAAATAAATAAATAAATCATGTTTCTAATTATTTGTTTTGTCCAAGATAGGAATCATCATAATATATTGTTACTGATAAGGACGACGCGAATTTGAGCATTATTCTCGTGATCATTATTTTTTGCTGGTATTATCTATTAAGGATTTGCTTAGCTGTAGTTTATTTTTATTTTATTATATAATTAACATTTAATAAAGTAAATTAACAAATAACAACTCATCCTAAATCCCATATGAATCCATGAAGATACTGTACCAACTTTTCTTAACTTCATTTGAGTGATTTATATATATATATATATATATATATATGTGTGTGTGTGTGCACTTGATCAGCTTATACTGGTGTAAGAATAATAAATCTTACAATCAATCTTAGTCGTTGGTTTTCTTTCATCCAACAACTGCAATTAATTAAAATATTTTCATTAATTAATTATTAATTTTTAATAAATTAATACTTATTATTTTTACACTGATATAAGCTAACCCTATCTTTTTATATATTGAAAAGTTATATATTTAGACTAAATTGAAAATTACTGTTATTAAATAAATTCAAAGTAGAGTATATATATGTATATATTGCAAATATAGCTTGCTGATATAATATAAGAATTGTCTTTGTTGTAATATAGGCTGAATTTTAAGGAAGCAGTTGTTGATCCTGAGATTGACCTATTCAAGAAAGTTCATGGAATATCAAAGTACGAGTTCTTCGGGAAAGATCCACAGATAAACCAAGTATTTAACCAATCAATGACTGATATATGCTCAACCCATATGAAGAGAATACTTGAAATATACACAGGCTATGAGGGAATATCAACTTTGGTTGATGTTGGAGGTGGAAATGGACAGTGTCTTAAAATGATCATCTCCAAATACCCTTCAATTAAGGCCATTAATTTTGACCTCCCGCAAGTCATTGAAAATGCACCACCTATTCCGGGTAATCCATAGTCTCTCTTACCACAACTTTTTTTATTTTTATTTTTTTTGGGAAATCATTAATCGAAAATTGTCAAATTTCATTTAGGGATTGAGCATGTTGGAGGAAGTATGTTTGAAAGTGTTCCACATGGTGATGCCATAATACTAAAGGTTAGTGTAGTAAATAATATAATATATATATATATATATATATATATATATATATATATATATCATATATATAAATTTCAATTATAAATTCTTTGATTGAATCTCAATAACAAAGTGCTAACCAAAATATTTTTGTATCCACATATATATGGATAACATTGTTCTAGGCTGTATGCCATAATTGGTCGGATGACAAATGCTTGGAAATTTTAAGCAATTGTCACAAAGCTTTGCCACCAAACGGGAAGGTCATTGTTGTGGAGCTCGTGCTGCCAGAAAATCCAGAACCAACAGATGCATCCAAAATGATTTCAATTCTTGATAACATCATGTTCATTACAGCTGGTGGAAGGGAAAGAACTGAAAAACAATATGAGAGTTTGGGAAAACGCTCTGGATTTTCAAAGTTTCAAGTTGTTTGTCGCGCTTTCTCTATTTTGGGAGTGATGGAGTTCCACAAATAAGTAAATCATATCGCCATATCGGTACCAATTTGGCATTTCATTGTAGAGTATTGGTACTTAAATTACACATTATTTTCTTATATCATTCTTACACCACTTTTAACAAACAAACAAACAAAAAAAATTCATACGTATTTTCTTTATCTTTTATTTTTATTTTTAATAAATAAGGTGTAAGTATGATATGATATTTCATGTGTAAGTACCATGCATATCTTTGGATATTGCCAAGTTGTCGAAGTCAAATAAATAGAAGAAAAGCGCCTTAAGCCATCTTAGGGTTGCGAATAGTTTGTCAAATTTTCTATTTGGATGTGATGTAATGTGTTTTGCGTACTTGTGTAATTTGGCACTGGATGTGATGTTATAACAAAGACGAATAATTCAAGTCAGAGTTTTACAGCTTTTGATATCTCCGTTTTGACTACTATATTTGGAATTGAATTTTGAAGACATCAACTTCTGCGGTTAACTATATCTGATGCATCTCCAAGTGAGACTATTGAGATGTAGAATGTTAGTTAATTGTATATATTTAATTAGGATTTAGCTTTTAAAATTGAAGATTTATTTAAAAAATTATTATTTATGATAAAATCAGTTAATATTATAATAAAATTAATATACAGATGCATACAAAATTTAGATTTATTAGAACAATTGAATAAGTCGAACATATGATATTATTATCACGTTCAATTCGGTACGACTTGAATAATCAAATCGGTAGGACTTGAATTGGAACTTCTTTGTCGCAATAAATTACAACATATATGTTCGTAAAATTTGTATGAGCTATCTTTTTTTTATAATTAACTCAACTTTAATTATATCCGTTGGCTCACCTCGATATCCTCACAAGCTTTGATTATTTGAGCCAACTAATCCGGAATGCGAAGTGAGTCAAAGATGAAGATATTTAAACCCCTTCTAAAAGTGGTATATGAAGATTGAAACAAAACTCTTTCTTTTTCACTTACTTAGCTCTCTTCTACCAACTGAGCTACGGTACAGGAGCTATGACTCTAATTGTTGCAATTCATATGAAATGCGTCACATAATTAATAAAATTTACCTAACAAATCCAATGATACCGACCGTCAGGTCATTCATCTATATATTATTAATATTTGAGATAAATGCAATTATAGTAAAATAATAATTTTTAGCTTAAAAAATGGACTTTTTGACCCTTATAACCCTTTATTATTAATTAATTACCGATTTGACCTTGATTATAAACTATTTCAAAAATTTAACCCTCTCAGAAAACATAACACCAATCTGCCCCTGTTTGACCGTTGACCACCAAGCCTACCCGGGTACACCCCTCTGTACCCGGGTATTTTTTGAAAATTTTTGTCTACCCGGGTAGGGAGGCGTGTACCCGGGTATTGTTCTTCGTACCTGAAAAATTGCTTGAATTATTTACCGGGGTAGAGAGGGGTGTACCCGGGTAAATCTTCGACCACCCATTTGGTATTTTTTCTCTCTTTTTTACAGCTAATGAGATAGATCAGTATTATCAAGTTAAGCATGCCTAACCAATTTGAAGAGCTTTTAGCTTTGAGAATGGATTTGGAATTTCCATACATCAACACTTTACTGCTCATCAAAGCGGTCCCTGTTCGTATCGATTATGATGGGGTCTACTTTTATGTACGTCAAAATCGCGCTCCTATATATAAATGTGGTACCGGGTCTATTGGGGAGAGTGAGACGGAAAGAAAATAAAGACAGGGTTCATGGTACAGAAATTTAGTGTGAGCATGCAGCTTTTCATTTTACTGGTAAATGACGAATTATCACGTTCAGGGAAGACATGCATGGGACAAGGTTTGTGGTTGTGGATTTATACTGTTAACTGAGAATTCTCTTTCTGAAATAATCATTGAAAAATATTTGTGTGCTTTACAGACCCAAAAAAGTTGCAGAGGCAGAGCACGTGATAGTCGGTGCCTCCATATTCAAAGCTTGGAGAAGAAGAGTGCATGGGAGATCCAAAGAGTAATCATACCGGGTGGTTGAAGATTTACCCGGGTAAACCCCTCTCTACCCGGGTAAATAATTCAAGCAATTTCTCAGGTGCGAAGAACAATACCCGGGTACACGCCTCCCTACCCGGGTAGACAAAAATTTTCAAAAAATACCCGGGTACAGAGGGGGTACCCGGGTAGGCTTGGTGGTCAACGGTCAAACAGGGGCAGATTGGTGTTATGTTTTTTGAGGGGGTTAAATTTTTGAAATAGTTTATAATCAAGGTCAAATCGGTAATTAATTAATAATAAAGGGTTATAAGGGTAAAAAAGCCAAAAAAATGTGTATCTGTTTTTTTTTAAGTCTGTTTTGAAATTTTGGACAAGGAAACCGCTCTCTTTCGTAAACTTATACGCTACATATTATTGATGAGATCAACATGCACAACTTGTTAATTTTTTTTTTTTTTGGGTTAACTTGCTAACTTTTTTAAATTTATAATAAACTGTACTACATCATTAACGAGATCACTACCCATTATTTGCTGACTTATAAGTAGAAACCTTTCTTCCCTTGAAATATTTCATAGACACTAAGAGTCCGTTTGGATGAGTTTTTTTTTCTTTAAAAGCTGCTTTTTTTAAGAAAAAAAAGCACTTCTCGAAAAAAGTCTGTTTGGATGTCTGCTTTTAAAAAAAGCAGAAGTCATAAAAAAAGTTAAAAATCTACTTTTTTCGGAAGCTAAAAATTTTAGCTTTTAAAAAAAGCAAAAGTCAAATATTTTTTTCAAAAATCAAATATTTTTTTAAAAATCTAAATAGCTGTAACTTTTATAGAAAGTACTTTTAAAATAAGAAAGTGATAAAAATGACTTTTTTAAAAAGCCAATACAAACAAGCTATAAATGCCATTATATTAGAACATTAAATTTATATCTATATTTTTTTTTATTTCTTCACCAATTCATCGATTCCTCAACTAATCTAGTTCGTGCTAAATAGGATTACAAGTGTAGCAAAATTATCTCTATCAAATTTTTAAAACAACCACATATCCAAGACTCAAACTTGAGTAATTTACATATTAAATTCCAATCCTTCACATATATATTGATGCACCTAAAATTGGCTTAATTAGTAGTGTCCATGCGTGTGTCGTTTTGAGCTTTTTAAGGTTTATTTTTCACTTTTATATTTTTATTTTAATTATTTTCTTATTTTAGATGTATTTTTGTTGATTGATTTGTAATCAGCTATTTTTATTCTCCAGGAAGCTTTTATTTCTTTTAGGAGCATGTAATGTTGATTCGATTGTAACCAATAATATATCTTTCAATCTTTCTTTTTTATTTTTAGGTGTTTTAGGATTAATTAACATCGTATAAAAGGTGTTTAGGACTACAATTGTATATTGTTGAATTTTTTATTATTGTTATTATTTTTTTAAGAAATAGGGTTCTCTTTATCTATCCAAATTCATGTGTTTAGTATTTTTTTTCAATTGTGTTTTGGCATTATTTGATATCAAAGCTCAGGTTGACTTTTGCTGATGGCCGAACAAAATTATTGTGGCCATGGACGACACGTTCGCGATGACAAGGGACACGCAAATTAATGCCCTAGATAAATTGATGAATAATCATGTTAGAGATACCAGTTGTGCAACGTAGAAAACAAGGAGATATGACAACTAGCAATGGTCTAGAATAACAATCTATGACATCACAATTGTCCGTTCAAATAGAAGACATGATGAAATCCATATATTTATTTGATGACGATGAGAGGTGTCAAAATCTTTGTGGTTTTGACTTTTGAGCCAAAGGAGGGATCGGGGAATTCGATCGACAGGGAGTTCAATCCTCTTTTTCAAATATTATAAAGATCAATTGTGTGTTGATTGACTTTAAAGGTGGGAATGATGGTGTAAAGAAAGGTAGCATTCTCAAATTTCAAAGTCAATTTTCCAAGTCGACAACAACTGCTATAATCCAATATGAGTAGTAGTAACCAAGGAAATGATTTCAAAGGAAAGGGCAGAGTAGTAGCGAATCTAGCAATATAGGAGCGATAGCTAAGATGTGCTACAAGTGTCACATGATTGGGTATTTCGCTACAAAGTGTCCAAATTATCAGATTATGATGATTGTTGAAGCTCCAAATTTATGTGAGGTCCTTGTCTACTACGAATTTGATGAAGAGAAGAGCGATGAGAATCCATTCGTTGAGGCTTTAGTATGTGACAATGTCCCTATCTATAATGAATCTGATGGAGAGCAACATAATGATAGACAAAGGGAGTTGCAAGAATGAGGTGCTTATTACCATGGTTGAGGTGCAAACTTTAAAATGAAGAAGATGGGAGATATTGGATTGCCTCATTCACATTGTTCTTTCATTGAAAATGATGAAAGTCTTCATGGTAAGTTAGTTATTGTGAATCATAATATCTCTAGCAAAATTGAGGTTTTCTCCAAATATGCCATGAAGAATGATCCTTCATTCAGGAAATTTTTAGCTTGTAAGCAAAATAATAAACTTGGGTACAACGAACATAGCAATCTCGAGTTTTATGGAGAGAACAATTTAGCTTTTGTTGGAAGTTTGATTGAAGATAATATACTACAATAGAACTTGATGTTACCTCAGGCTAAATTTGCCTACAACAAATCACATAACCAAATTACAAGTCATTTTGAGTTAGTCTATGAGCGTAATTTAATTATTCCTCTAGATCTCATATCATTGTTAGCCCCCAAACATTTCAATTCAAAGGCAAATGAAGATTAAAAGTTGCATTCACAAGTTTTATCCTTAATTAGGGAATTAAGTGATATTGTACCAGAAAAGTTGACACTTGAATTTCTACCTAAAGAGGTTAATTTCAATAAAGATAAAGGAGATTTAAGGGTGAATATTTTTATAATAGAGAAAAATAATCCACCTAAAATTGGCTAAGAATTATCCACATGTGCTTGTGTACGTCATTTTAGATTTTTTTAGACTTATTTTTATATTTAGTAACAATGTCATAATTTTGAAATTGACAGTTAAGATGATATCATCTCCAAATACCGTTCAATTAAGGCCATCAATTTTGACCTCCCGCAAGTCAATGAAAATGCACCGGCCATTCCAGATAATCCATATTCTCTCTTGCTATAACTTTTTTAATTTTTAATTATTTTGGGAAATCATTAATCGAAAATTGTCAAATTTCTTGTAGGGATTGAGCATGTTGGAGGAAGTATGTTTGAAAGTGTTCCACATGGTGATGCCATAATACTAAAGGTTAGAGTAGTAAACAATTATCATATATATAAATTTCATTTATAAATTCTTGATAACTTGATCTAATCTCAATAATAAAGTGCTAACCAAAATATTTTGATATCC